TATAACTTATATTTAACTTACCTTAATAAATAAAAGGTTAATAAATTAGCTTTTAATTAATAAAAGATTATATTAATTAAAATATTAAGAAAAGGTAAGGTATATATAATTAAGCTTATAATTATAGCTTTAACGCTTAATTAAGCATTTAAATAAGAAAAAGAGAGCTTATAATAGCCTTAATAATAGGCTTAATTAAGGGGTGTATTAGAATAAGTTACTTATTATAGGTATAAATTACGTACGTATAATTAAATAAGAGTAAACCCTTAACTATAAGTAAATAACCCTAATAATAAGCGTACTTATAAAAAGAGCGCATACGATTCTCTCTTTTTTAGCTAGACATGGACTTGTATATATACATTATCGTTACAATTGGTGCCCTCTAAAGTGTGACACATGGATACCCCATTTTCCCCATGGATATGGTTTGGGTCCTTTTCCCCCCTACCCAAACCTACCAAACCCCACGGATAAGCTACCCATACCGGGTATCTGTGGACCTTTTACATCTTGGGCTCAACTACATACCTAGGTAGGTACCTAGGTAACTACCTACGCGCGCGGCCCCTGTTTCTGGTGACAGCATAACTATTACAAGACAGGTCCTAAATTATCACCAATTAATAGAAGTCTCATGTATTAAGTAAAAAATTCTGTTTAGCTGTCTTGTGATAGATGATAGCCAGAGGACAGTCACCAGAAAACCCCTTGGCGCGCTATGGTAGTTTGACCTGTCACCTGTCTCTCCACTTGCCGGCGCAAAGAGCGCGGTGCCTGGCCGCGGATGACGACGGGCATGATAAGGATACAGTAGCCGTGACCGGAGCTGGCCGAGATTCATCAGACCTACTCGGCACAAATCTATCGTAGCTGATCATTTTGTTGGAATCTTTGCGGTGCGGAAACCAGAACAGATTGTGCCATCAGTTTGTCCTCCCGACACCACCGCCCAATGTTGTCACCACCACAATGAACAACCTACAGATATCCCCTTTCATCGCCTCCCTTCCCAAGGTCGAACTGCACATTCACATCGAAGGCACCCTCCAGCCTCCTCTCCGCTGGACTCTTGCCCAACGCAACAACATTCCCCTGAGGTTCAAAGACCAGACCTACAGGACCTACGAAGAGCTTCTTGAATCCTACAAAGTCACATACAACCACCGCCCCGAGCTGGGCGGCCGCAAAGATGTGCCCACCTTCCTGGAAGCCTACTTTGCCGGCTGCGAGGTCCTCCTTCGAGAAGAAGACTTTTACGACCTCGCCATGGACTACCTGAAGCGGTGCCAGGAGATGAAGGTGCGCTACGTCGAGCCATTCTTCGATATTCAGGCTCACACCAGGAGAGGAGTCGCCGCCGAGGCCGTTCTAAACGGCTACCTGAGGGCACAAAGGGACGGCGCAGAACGCTACGGTGTCAAGTCGCAGTGGATATTCTGCTTCTTGCGCGACGAGCCTGTTGAGGATGGCGAGGCTGCCTACGAGACTGCTCTGCCGTGGGCCACGTGCAACGGGGGACACGGGCTGTTTCACGCCGTTGGACTGGCGAGCAATGCCTACGAGAGACCGCCGATGCTGTTCAAGAATGCGTTTGCCCGTGCCAGGGCAGACGGGCTTCACCTCACAACGCACTGCGATTTCGGCCAAAAGGATACTCACGAGCATATCCGACAGGCTATTTTCGACGTGGGCGTTGAAAGGATAGACCACGGACTGGATGCCCTCGATCGTGATGAGCTGGTTGAAGGCCTCAGAACAAGGGGAGTCGGATTGACCCTTTGCCCGCATGCCTATCACAGACGCACGGCGACGGAAGCCCTGTTTCCTAAATTACGGCAGCTTCTGGACAAGGGCGTCAAGTATTCCATCAATAGTGATGATCCTGTGTATATGCACGACGTGTGGATCGACGGCAACCAGGAGAAGGCATATCACTATGGTGAGTTGTCCAAGGCGGAAATGGTGCAGTTGGGGAGAAATGCGGTAGACATGTGCTGGGCCGATGAGGATGTCAAGAAGAGCGTTTATGCAGAGTTGGACGCTGTTGATACCGACTAGATAAATGCCCAAGCCAGAAGAGGATAAGGTAAAAAGTCTGCAGGTCGAGACGTATCACCGGTTTTCGTACTCTCACGACATGGTGTTCGGCGTCCCATTGTGGCTCACCACTGTATCCCCAGACGCCGTCTTGATCAAAGTCGACGTTTAACTCCGCACTGGCGCCAACGAAATGGCCCTTGCGTTGCTGGATAGTTGTGCTTTGTATCACGCATCATGTATCTGTTGACCGAGGGATATGCAAGCAAGCGTCCGCCTTGGCCGCTGTTGTGACAAGTATGAGAGGCCTCGTCTCGCCAACATGAGGCGACAAAGAACAGCCGCCCATTTCCGCCTGATGTTGCGATGCAGCTAACGCGTTTTGAGGCTCAGCTGCGGCCATGGCAAGAGGAGAAGCAAGGAGAGAAAATGTGTTTGAATAACCATATTTTTCATTACACCGTCCGTCTCACCACCCCGCACCGGTGAGTCCAGTAGGAAACAAACCGATGTTGAGACACTCACTGCACGACGCACGTATTCAATACCAATGCATTGCTCGCCAATGCCTGTCCCTCTCGAAAAGCACTTTCACACTCGTTCATGCAGCCCATGCCAAGACAGTCCATACAATCTATCCCATAGCCGCCGACGCACCACATCTGCACTGCCATCCGCCATCCCCAGACACGCCCGTCGCTGCAGCTGCCCGAGGCACAGCAAATCATATCGCCCAAGTTGGCAGGCGACGAGGTTCGAGGATCAATCAACGGCTCTGTCACTGTCATCTGCATGTGCTCAGTATCTGTATTACTAGAACACTGGCAATCAGTCAAGGTCGACAGCGCTGGTGTGATGCGGCATTCGATATTACAGAGTACAACTGAGACATGCCGCGGCATGTGAGCGACTGTGTTACAACTTGTACAACTAGTGCAACTTGCACAACCCGCACAACAACCTGTACAACACCACCTTCCCCTCAACGTCGTGAATAGTGTCACTCAACTTCTCTTTTCCCAGTTGCTTTATTTTAAGGTTTTCGCCACCGGCAAGATTGTCTCTGCTAGGATGCACAAGTTCCATCGCCGTCACTGATCACCGTTGAATGACTCCCGTTCGCCATGGGCCTCTCCAGCTCCAAACCAGAACGGCCATCCAGGCCGTCCAAGTCCAACCTCAAACCAGGCTCGTTTACATGTTCTCCCAACATGTACGCATCTTCTCCCGCACCAGTCCCAGCACAATACAACTTCTACCCTGATTCCAAAGCCTCGCAGCAGCAGTTCAGTTACAGCCCGGCCACAAACTTCCCACATCCACCTCTCCCAGCTCCATGCTCAACACACAAAGAATCGTATCCCCAATATGATTTGCGCCCACCTCGGAAACAGAAAGGCTTCGACGTCGGCCGCCTCTCAGAGTCCATGGTCGACCTTGCACTGGATCTGATATGCGCTCATGCCCCTGGGCCGCGAAAACAGCTTACACCTTCCACCAACGTTGCCAGCGCGGCATACGATGACATTAAGCACCGTTTCGACAATGTCATGACACTGATTGATTCCGAGAGCCTATCAGGCCACGAAAGGAATTTGTTCCTATGCCAGGAGCCCGCTTCTCAAAGCGGTCTCGCCCAGTATAAACCCCAAACTCGGCCCCAACCTTACACACACGACCCATCTCAACCATGGCCAACTCACGACAAGTACACTTGTCGAACCCTGGGTTTCAGAGAGTCACACCCCATTGAACAGCAGGAAAAGGGACAGCCTTCGCAAGCCGCTCACATAGCCACCGCTGTGGTATCGGGCAACTATTTCTCCAAGGTAGAACTATATGCCAATTCAAAACTGCCCATGAACCTCCCCCCTCTTCGTCTGTAAGTCTCGGTTACCCAACACACCACCACGACACCTCATACAAAATCTGTCTTACTCACCGCCAGCATCATCCATGTTCCACCTTTTCCTTTTCTTTTGTTTTTTTCTCTACCCAAAATCTAACAACAACACTCAGATACATGCCGACGTGGCCCCTCCTCTGCCTGGCCGCCCAATACTCCCACCGCGTCTACACCAGCCCGGGAGACGACGAACTAAACACGCACATCCCCTCGTCCCTGCGCAACAACACCAAGGCAATGCGCATCAAGTCCGTCTCCATGGACCACGCAAACACCATCGTCTTCGCCATCCGCGGCACCGCCTCCTTCTCCGACTGGGCCGTCAACCTCAACATGGCGCCCTCGCCGCCCACAAACTTCCTCGACGACCAAGACAACTACTGCCACGCCGGGTTCCTCTCCGTCGCCCGCAAGACGGTCCGCCCCGTGGCCGCGCGGCTCAGGCAGCTGCTGGAGGAGAATCCCGGACGGGCAGGATACTCGCTCCTCCTGACGGGCCACTCGGCCGGCGGCGCCGTCGCGGCCCTCCTGTACAGCCACATGCTGAGCGGCATCGAGAGCGAGCTGACGCTGCTCGCGGGCCGCTTCAGACGCATACACTGCGTCACATTCGGCGCGCCGCCCATCAGTCTGCTGCCGCTGAAGACGCCCAAGAGGAGAGAGCTCAGAAAGAGCCTGTTTCTAAGCTTCGTCAACGAGGGGGACCCCGTGGCACGGGCGTCCAAGTCGTATGTCCGGTCTCTTGTTGCGCTGCTCGCCAACCCGCCGCCGCCAGCGGACCCGGTACACGGTCGGCCAGAGTGGAGGGTGCCGCCTTCGAAGCTCAGCAACGCGGGGAGGATAGTGGTTCTGCGGACGGGCAATCCGCACGCTCCCGTGACGGAGCACAAGACACTCAGGCAGAGGCTGGACGAGGGCGTGGCGGCGGTGACGTGCAAGGAGCATCAGTTGCGGGGCGTGATATGGGGAGATCCGGTGGCGCACATGATGAGTCTGTACGCGGGGAGGATAGAGGTTTTGGCCGTGGGAGCGGTGACGGGGAAGAGGAGGGTGATGTGGTGATGATCATGGTAATGACCGTAATGACGCAGTGACGAAGACCTGACTCGAGGAGCGCCCCGTGTGTCGGGAGCAGTCTAGATAACCCCCTTTTTATTTTGGATACCAAAGAAACGAATATACTGACCAATTCATAGAAGCAGCATGGGAACAATGGCCCAGAAATACGGCCATATTTTTACCTAATATGATAATGCAAAGTCGTTAGATGGGTCACGTCTAGAGTCGAAACATACCCCCACAATGTTTGGAAAGACGAATGTGGTCTAATACAATCAATTGTTGTCCATACTGGCTGGGCCCTACTGTAAAAGCATCAGATGGCATCCAACCCATCTTGCGTAATAATCATCCAAATGGCCACACCCACTCATATCCAAATCCGAATTCTTCCAAACAAAGGAAGCCCTGAATGGACGCCTTTCATCGCTATTGCAAGCTCGACGGCAAAAGTCCCACACCCTGTACGCCGTGTTGCCCAAAGTCTCAAGAGATAAGTAACGAAACACCAAGCCAGATAAAGACATGTATATATCAAAGATAAGCAAACACATGGACATGAGACCCAATGCTAGAAGATAGAATGCTTTTTGTGCTCGCTCAGCGCCGCTAAGCTTTCGCCTCAGCAAAAGTTAAAGAGGCACGGTGCAATGCCCCTTCAGCTTACAAAGTATAATGCCGTGCTCTTTGGTGGGTTGGCAAAACCAAGCAAAATGAGACAAAGGCGATGTTGTAGAGTGACTTTGGTCAAACATGTAAACAGAAGAGAGTCTGCACTCTATCAAGAAATCTTCGGTCGTCGCTCCAGTCGTCCGACGAAGAGGGGTATATGAATTCGTATCGGCATTATGGCAGAAGCGCCTAGTATGCGCCCATTGTATTCATGCCAACCATTGGATTATTTGCGTCTGAACTCCCTCTTGGGAGATTATGGAAATCCCCCATGTGCGGTTGACTCGTCATGTGGAAGCTACTTTGCCTTTGTTGGATTTGACTCATACCGCCTAAAGGATTCATTACGCCTATGCCCTGTTGCCGCATGTTTTGGCCTGTCATTCCATTCAAACGCTGTGGCATGTTGTCGTGTCCCATGTGTTGGCCTTGTGACATGCCATTCGACTGCCCAGAGCTTCCCATGGGACTCATCACCATCTCATTCATCGGATTGCATGGAAACCCATTCATGTTATGAGAATAGTCTATCCCCGGCGACATGATGTTTGGAGAACCGACAAAGGAACCGCCCATATCCGACCCTTGCTGCGCGATTGACGGTGAGCTCTGGGAGTGGTTGGAATGAGTAGCGGATTCCGGGGTATTGCCGTTCATTTCCATCGCATACTTCTTCTCGTACTCCTCGACGGAGAATTTACGGTCATAGTCGTTGTCCATGGCCATGTGCATCTGGCTGGGCGGCTGGGCCATTCCAGCAGTGCCAAAACCATCAAAGATATCGATATTGGCAAGGTTGGAGTTCTCGGGGGCGTTCTGAAGCATGGGGTTCGTGATGCGAGGAAGAACGTCGCCCAGCTTGTTCAGGAGCAAAGGCAGGAGGCGATAGTCGCCGTTTCGGGCAACGGCAACCATGGAAAGAATCTGGCTCAGGTGCTCGCGCGGGCCTATGGTGAATGGATCTCGCGACGCAGGCTGCATAGCGAGGTATTCGGTCATCGATGATGACATTTCCATGAGCTTCTCAATCTTCGGAGGCGTCAGCAAATAGTGCGTTATTTAATGCGCTCTCAGTTCGCACTTACCAGTCCGGTGCCAAGAAGATCAACAACTTGAACAGGGAATTGTGATGCCATGTTGACCAATAGTTCTCGTGACATGTTCATGGGATACTGGAATGACATGGAATCGTCCGAGTTGCCATGTACCACACCGCTTGTCAGCTGCCAGACGGTATTCTTCAACCACTGCTGGTTAGTATGTAAATCATGAAAATTTGAGTCCTGGCAAGCATAGGATTGAGCCACTTCATTGAGCTGCTTTTGTAGACCGTTGACATGTTGAGACGTCAGCTGAGCTCGAGTCTTGTTCCAAGTAGTAGTAAAGGCATCATCGAACGGCCGAAACATGTTAACTAGCAAGATGAAGCTGTTGAGCATATGTGCCTGGGGATCGGCAGGATCGTCACCGAGAGTAGGCAAATTGATGGTTGCTTGAAGAGTAATGGGCCGTCGGCGCTGAATAGCGTAAGCCCGCTCAACTGAGAAGAAGAGCCAGAACAAGCGACGCCTTCGAGAAGCCTCGGCGGCATCAAACTGCATATAGTGCTCCTCCTTGTCCATGCCAGCCATGTGCATCATGGTTGTGGCTTCGCGAAGATAGTACCAGGCCTTGTCATGCATTTCCTGGCCATAGAAGCAGCCAAAAAGGAAGAAGTTGGTGGCCAAGGAATTCAGAGTAATGGAGTCGAGGTACTCGTATCCTTTTCGAACGCGGAGACATTCTTCGAGAAGAAGCTGGCTGGAAACAATATTGGCCCCAGGGACCATGTCCAGGTTGTATGGGTCACCCGCAGGCATAGACATGCCTGGCTGAAGCATGATGAAGGCACAAAGAGATGTCATTAAGCAGTAGGCGTCGCGGTTCTGCTCCATGTACAGTACTTGTTGTTCGACTTGTCGTCGGTCGAGGATCGGAGCCTGAGGATAGAGATTATCGAAGAAGAACTGGGCACATTCCTTGACTAGTTCACTGGTAAGGAGGCCAGGAGTAGGGGCCAAGCCTGAGGTTGTGGGCGGGCAAGCGATGCCATTCATCCGGTTTTGCACCTTGGCCGACAGACTGGTCTGACGCTGAGTCTCGCGAAGTTCGCTGATTACTTTGGCTCGTGAGCCCTTTGGGCCTTTCTTTTGTGGGATAGCATTGTATGTGCAAGACAACTGAGCCGAGGCGCAATTCCGGCACGGGTTGATGCCGTCACACTTTACCTTGCGACGATGACAGGCATCGCAGGCTCTCTTTACGGCTTGTGACATGATGGCGAATGGCGGAAGCAAAGGAGAGGAGGATGGATACGGCGGAGCAGGAGGCGATGCCTCGTCGTTGAAAAGGACGTTGTCAGGCGGCAGGACAGGCACCGACGATAAGGCGTGTCGCTGAATGCCAAAGACAGGTGGAATAGGGCAGAGTCGCTATGTCGATATGGCGTCGCGATGAAACATCGACAAGATGGCAGATCTCGGGGTATTTTGCGGGGAGAGTTGAGTATGGCAGATAAATTGCCAAAGGTCTGTCGCGTGTCGCTGGATGCAGCCGCAGGGAAATGGACACCAGAGCAGACAGAGAGCACAGGGTGGTTGGTGGTGGCTTCAGGCCTGCAGGTGTTATTCGGCCCTTTCCAAGCGGGCCCTCGCGGGGGATTGTTGGGGATGGATTGAGCAAAGTCCGGGGAAAGCCAGAAACCTCCGCAGTACAATATCCAGGAGAATTGGGCTGACCAAGTCGCCGCAGTCGTCCAAGCCGTGCAGCGCAGTTGCGGATGATATCAAGACACCAAATGCTGGCGGTGACGGCGACGGTGACGGTGATGGCAAAGGGGAAAGGAAGAGTTGGCAGACGAAGTTGGAACACGAGAGGGACGAGCAGACTGGGCAAAAGGCCGGGCGTGGGCCAGTGGGGTTCATTTTTTACTTGGACGGGGTTCCGGGGTGGGAAGAACGGGGTACGTACCGTACGGAGTACACAATTCATAAACACTCCCAGTGCCGACTCCGTACAATATTGACATAAAAGGTGCCAAAGACTGAGCCAGCCAACCAACCGACCAACCGACCTTGTCCAACAGGCGACACGCGCAAAAGAAAGGCAGCACAGGCCCAGACACGTCCAACAGACCACCGGGCTGACCGTGAGCAGACTTGCTGGGGGACGGACCAGGGCAGACCAGAGAGAAGCAAGGCTTGGGGTTGGCGTGCGCTGGCTTGGTCAAGCGTCAAGCTGCGCACAGGGCGGAGTCTGAGGAATGCGTTCGACAAGCCAGCGACTCCAGAACAGGCACCGGGCCCCAGTTTTGGTTCCCAAGGAGAAATTAATTCGAAGCAGCTGGGCATGGGTGGGCAAGGGGTGAGATGACTTCAATGGTCAGAAGTGAAGAGGCTTGTGGGATGCAGGCCCTGTCGACTGGTCAAGTTTGCTGGCTGCAGCCTTCGCGGACGCCTCGTTCGTCTCTGGTCAGCATCTCGTGTTAGCCCCCGACGGTGTCATGTCGTCATTAGCACCGTCACATCATCACAGTCCTTGCCCATGCTCTACAGTGCGAATACTCATCTGTCCTGTGCGACACTATTGACCTCCCCCACACCGGCGACACCGAGAGGCTCATCCCAGGTGCGAAATCGTCAACCGGCCGCTGGCAAATCGTAATACCTCTCGCAGTTTTGAGTACCGAGCACTCCGTACGGGGTAACGAGTACCGAGAACGGAGTCATTGCTCTCCCCTTGCTACCACACAGACGCTGTCCACTGTCTCATCCTTCTCATGCATTCGCCAAAGCTTCTCCACTCCCGCAGTTTGGTTCATCCGTCCGTCTGTGGATTTTTCTCGGCTTTACGGAGCATGGAAGGCCGTATTCCGATTAATAGGTAATGGACCTGGAAAGAATGCGCTTTATACCTCGTCATGACGTCGCTGAGGCGGTAGACGATGCAGTCGCCATGTTGAACACGCACTCCGTACACATGTTCTGAATGCGTTTCTTATTTGTCTAAATATTGGTCAGTCCCATTCAATGCCATTTCGATGCTGCTATAGCTGTTGTCCAACGGAGCATGCGGAGATTTGGCAACAAAGTACGGAGTATGGTCATCCAGCTTTCTTTTATATGCCGCTTGACAGACCCCTCGGCGCTCTTGGGAGAAACAGTATGAGCGTTTTAAAACTTTACCTCACCCCTCCCATCCAAAGTTGATAATCCATCTTCCTTCGGTCTCGGGTGATAGTGGGCCCTACTCAATCCCGTCTCTCTCCATGACAAATAAGCGAGAGATGCTCCGTACCATTGGAACAGACTTTGTAGTCGCAGCATTTAAGATGATAAATAAGCACTCCATGAGTCCATGCAGAGCGGAAATAGCAAGACGCCCCCCACCACATCGGTCGTCCGCCTTGCCGAGTCGATTGGCATCTGGCATCCAATATTAAGCTGGAAGTGTCTCCCCATTTGAGTTGTCGTAGCCCATTGGGGGCCAAGCAACTTTAGACACAGGAATGGACTTGTCGTTGTTCCCAGCTGGCGTTTCAGACATCATTTTGCATGCAATCCAATCGCAAACACAAAAAAAGAAAGAAAAAAAAAGAACGCGGAGCGAATGGCCCTTTGATCAGTCAAGACATGTAGCCGATCCGAGACTCACTAGCCCGTACCTATGGATGTTACCGACAACTTCTTCCACTCCATCTATACTTCTCTAGTCCCAAAAGTACTAACATTTCCATCCATGCCTGCCTTGGCTCTGGGGTGGTGCATGTATCACTGTTCTGTTTAGCAGGGTGCAGTGTCTGCACATAATAATAATTCCCGCCCTTAAATTAATGGCATCCGCCTTGGTGTCAACTGAGCTCTGCCCTTGATTGTGCATTTCCTTTTTGGAGAGGATCCACATGCAGTCAAGGTTCTTTTTCGCGTGCGGAGTACGGAGTACATAGGATGTTCCGTGACTGCTCCTCGTGGTCCTCTTATTGCCCATAGACAGTAATACTTCATGAGCTAGATTCGGAGTCGCTTCGTCCTCCCAAATTCTGGGGGTTCTTTTCAGTCAAGTGTCACGCAGCAGTGTGACAGACTGGCAAAGCAGCCGAGAGTAAAATGTCCCCCTGTAGGACATGTTGCAAAACATGACCTGATTACTACCCCGTACTCGTGCTTTCTTTTAACAGCCTCACTTGGCCGCATCAGCCACAAGCGAAGGGAGCCCAAATGCCGATGCCAGTGCCAATGCCTTCGGCTCCCGAACGATTCCCAGGGATCAGTCCTGAAGTTGATTTGCCCGAACTCATTTCGCGGGCCTTGTCCTTCGTCATGCTTCTGCCCCGCTATGGCTGCTTCTTTGTCGTGGTTGGTTGGAAAGAAGAAAGAAACAAATGGCTGCTACGTAGCATACTAGCATGGCGCTCCTAGTAAGCGGGTTGGCGTTCGTTAATGCATTTGTGGTTGCAGCTTCGCCTGCGTGCTTCATTTAATATTGCTGCTGTGCGCCGTAGGTCACCAGACTCCTGGTAGTCTGTCAGCAGCAGTTCTCTGTTTTCCAGCCTATTTTCAGAATTCAAGGCATGGGAAACACCACTTCTAGAGCATCCATCGTGTTAAATCTTGGCCCAGTACTATATCTGTCGTCACCGATAACAGGACAATACAGCAATGCAGGCCGGTGCTTGGTCGCAGTCATGGGTGTCGGCCAACCCATCCTCAAAATACGGAGACATCATGGCCGGCTGGGGAGAAACGCCAGAGCTGGAGTAACAATCAGCCCGCCTCCACTCTCCCGCAGCCTCTTGACGGTCGGTCCGAAAAGGCGACTCCTGCAAGGCTGCGATGATTTCAGTCTGCTCTGAACCACCAGGCGAGACTGGTTGCCGAGGCCGTTGGACTGGAACAGTCTCGCACTCTGACTTAAAAGACGTCTAAAAACTGCAGCACGATGCCTCACTTCGGCCACTGATTTGCTTGCCGTTCGCCAGGGGACGTCCGGTCCTTCAGTAACCATTTCGAGTTTGGTGCTTCTGGCAAAGGGGACTGCTGCGTGCTCCTGTTAGCAGACGGTCAGACCTACTAATAAATAATGAAGCCAGGTGTTCTCCGTGGGCCAGAAGCTCGCTTCCATGGTACCGGTTGACCTTCTTATGTTAGTTGAGTGATTGACCCGTCTCATGAGGTTGCCTGCCTCGCAAACGCGGGGGAAAGAAAAAAGCAGGCTCTTCATTCCCATAGCCAAGCTTACGGGGATTTGGGGCCATCCCACAGAAATGATGCCTTATTACTACTAGGTCGCTCTTGCTGATTTGCTTCTTCCTCAATCAATCACAGACTAAGCCTGATCGGGCATTCCTCAAGAAGCCCTCCTCGAAACCTGAGAATTGCAAGGATGCAACGACAAGATGTTCTCTCTCGGCCTTGAGTAAAAGTTGTAGTCATTGAGGGACTCTGTTGGCCATTCTCTGACGAGAGCCAGTAGATCTGTACGCCTACGGCGCTTCATTGAACATGTATACATTTACTCACATGTCCTTTTTCGTCGTCGAAGTGGAAGCGTATGGCTCATATAGGGTAGCCAAAACTCGTTGCGAATATCGGAATAGCGACGGCGTAAATGGTGTAGAACAAGGCTCGGAAATATAGCAAGCGACTATACTGCTGGCCAAAGTCAAAATGATTGCTTATATTCAGTCTTTCAATACATACCCGCAACTGCAAAGAAATAGCTCACCTGAGTGTGAAGGGCAGACGATCAATGTCTATTCACTGCCCCTTCTTTGGCGGTGCCCAACAAGCTATGCTGACAAAAAGAAGAACAAAAGTGAAAAGACAAAAAAACCTTTCCTACCCTCCTCAAATACGTAAGAATAAGAGCAATGAGTAAATTTTGAACGAGTTCATTTGTATACGGTACCAAGACACCACATTCAGCTCAACACCTTCAAGGCCAAATGTGTCTGAATAGGTTGTACAAGGTCTGAATATTGCACATGCCGTATACGGAGTAAATACTACCCGGTACTCGTTACCGAACCGCGTGTCTCCAACTGACAATAAACCCAAGGGGAATGTGACAACCTGATAAGAGGCATGCTTAACGTAGCTTCATTGCTCGTTATGGTGCATAAAGAAAAATGCAAGGGAGTGATATGATGCTTGTATCCACCAAATTCCCGTGCTTGAATTGCGTAATGTGATAGGTCTCAAAAAATTATCAACAAGGACGAATGTTGCTTACCATCTCCACCTTGTGTATCCTTCTCTGGCTCTGTACGCCTGTAATTCGTGACTTGGAAAAGGGGGTTGGCTCCTTTGTGTCACGCAAAGGCCAAACCGTAGGTCAAGCAACCTGGATCTGAAGACAGCCACCCCCCCGACGAAACTCATTTCTGACGAAAATGGCGTAATCAAAAAGATGAAAATTAATTGTCCGCAAGTGCTGCAAGGAAACAAATTCAGAGGGTGGCAGACGCGTTGGAACAGTTGAAATGCTACCCTCGCTGCTGTGGGACCTGCACGCCGGGCTGATTCTCTGAATGTGATATATCCTTTAGACAGATAACATTCATCTCTGCAAGAATTCAAACTCGGATTGTCTCTTTTAGGAAATATCCGCCGGGGCTTTCGTAGGGCCTTTTTAGATACAGTACGGGTAGAGCCCCTTTTTCAAAGATGGTGCATCAATCGTGATGGAGGTTGGGTATTGGAAAGCACAAGTGGCCAATGAATGATGGACTCTTGTTTGACCTCGGTAGTAAATCCAATACAGGGTTCGGAATAATAGAGCAGTGGAGGGTGAGATTTCCGCGCAGTTACTCCGTCACTCGGAGCTATGTAATTTTTTCGCAGCCTGACGGCCCATCCCATGTGAGTTTCTCCGTCATATGGACCCCGTATATGTCATTTGGACCACCAGTTTCTCCTATCAAAAATATGGCGACTTGTTTCGCATAGTGGGAACTGCATTCCTGGCACTGAATAGGGGCCAAGGGCGGTGCTGCGGCCGTCGTAACTCGAGAACTTGCTCGAAGTTTTCAACAATCTGTCGGCCTGCGGCTGGTCATTCGGTAATTGATGTACGAAGTGAAGATATGGAGGCTGGCACAAGGTGATTCGGCATGAAAACATGACTTCTATTCGCTCTAATATTCGAAAGAGGAGGTCACCGATGAGCACCCGTACACCCCGCGAGTAGGAACCGCCACTCATCACTGAATTTTGACATGACAACTTTTTACCTTCAATGAAGACACAAAGCCGAATCTAGTAGTCTATATGAGACCAATTTGTGGAATACCCGATTTGTCCAAGTATTTCAGGGGGAGGGAGGAATGACCAAACGCCTCCTACGAGCCTGTGACGACGTCAAGATGACAAATTCAACAACGTTAGGAAACCTCCGATTTAGCGAATGTGACTCTAAACTTCCTCCTCGTCATCATAAATGAGAAATGCAGCAGATCCTACCGAGTACTTGGGAGTTGAGTACGTCGGAGAGGGATGCAAGGCGTAAATCCGAGTTTGAATTTCATCACCGTACGCCGTCTGCCAAGGAAGTAGCATTTCCGGGGGAACGTGCCATCCATGCTCCGTACTTCGTAGCCAAAGCCTAATCAAATGGCGGGATGTTGTTTCGTCGTCGTCGTACGCTTCCCGGCGGTGGAGGAGAGCCCAGTTGTTCAAGAACAAAATATCTCCACGCTCTAGATCAAGCTCCAGCTCTGTAGACCAGGCAGCTTCTTCCAGCTTCTGGAGGGCATATTTCTGGTCCTCAGTCAGTACAGGGATGGATGATCTACTGGATGCCGGATGGGGACCGAATCTATTGGGGTCCATGCTGGTCATCAACCGGTCATCGTGCCATTTCATGACTGGTGCCAAGTAGTGTTGAGCGTGACGCCCAGAACTGAGCGTGCTTAGCTTCTATTGTACTTTGATTAGAACAGGAGGTTGGTGCCTACCATTGGACTGGCCAGTTTGGCTCGAACAGCGTCCGGACAACGGTGGGTTCCACGGTGAGCAGCTGGTTGAAGATGCTTGCCGCGGAACTAACAAAAGTAGAGCCCCTTCTGTGAGCACAGTGACGTACTTGAAGTGCGAGAATATCGCATCCCATATCGTTGTGGAACGGCTTCACGGCAAGTTGTCAGTATGCTGTTGAGAGAGGCGGGTTGAAGTCTCGCGATTCAACCTACCAAAGCCGCATTGGAGTGAATGCCGTGCCTCTTCTCCAAGGGTACGTCCCATATTTTGGAGCTTGTAATATGTCCTAGCAGAGGATAGTATTAGTACGTTGCCTCTTTGATGTAATATTATTCACGTTCTCATACTTAGAACATTTCCCTCTCGGTCTTGAATGCCTCGCTGGTCCGCAATGTAGCTCGCCATGCCAAGATATATGATGATACTATCCTCCACTGTGTAGTGAGACATGTCTATCCCCTTGATAACGAAGAACCCTCGACCGTAATGAAGGACTTTGGAACATTTCTCGAGCCTTTCAGTGAGATTGGGCAGCGGAAAGTTTGCCTTCGACACTTCATCCCCATCGAGACAGAGAGCTATTGCATTGGTTAGTCTCACGATAATATTCAGTGAGGCCTTATCTTACGTCTCACCTTTAAACGCCTCCAGGGCTTTTTCAACCTCGGCAATATCCTCACTTGTTAGACGAAGGGCGTACAAGCTGTTGTGATGAAAATCTCGTCCTGACCAAATGAGTTGCCCAGACAAAGTCGTTGGAATGCGGACCGTAGAATTTCCAGCTAATGACCTTGTGGAAACGCATGTTTCTTTCAATCCGTCGGCGCTGTTTTTAGTTGAATCCCCGACGTCGATTAGTTGTGTAACAGAGTCGATGAGAGTGCCACGAGCCATGTTTACTTGCAACAAACACCACAAGAACAAAATGAGCAATGTATGGTACTACGAGATATGTCCAATGGCAAAACCAAAGTATGAAGACTACAGTTTGGTTTTTTTTTATTTTTTAAAAAAAAGGGCACCCAAAGGTACCAAAAGAAGCGAGCCATCAAAACTTCTCAGCAAGTGTGGGTTGTTGACCCATAATGTACTCGGCGTTGATCCCTGAATAACTCATTCCAGGTTGGATTCCCTTTCAGAACATTCACACAGCCAGGTACTTAGATATAAACGAATATGAACGCTACGAGCAGCATTCACCTTCACTGTCCTGTAAATACATCATATTGGAGTCATCAATGACGCCTGATTCTGATTTCTATTTTTTCTGCAGGGTCTTGTTGAAGAAAACGCCTGAATCACGGGCCCGATGCAACTGCATACAGGACGCAATGCCATCCAGGGCACCAATGGCCCCGGTGTTTTCCATGGACAAGTGCGTTTTGTTGGAATTAGATCACTCTAGCCTGCCATATAGCACTAGACATTCAGCTGAGATCGGATGCCAGCATCTACTAGGGCTCTTGCGATTTGACGACCCGGTAGCCGAGCTTGCTATTAAGTATTTATGACTCGTGAGGCAGCAGGGAGGGAGGAGAAGCATGCTTTTATCACTATGGCACCAACTGCCAGAATAGGGTTCTCTTCCGCTTTAGGTTTGTTAGAAGCCTAAAAGTGGTAGCGTATTGAAAAGTTTCAGGTTCGCACATGGTTCTGTCGCCACCATATAGCATCATTACATCGAAAAAGAGTCACACACCCCGCAGAAGAGTCTGGTAGCCTGGTGCTTTCAATCCAGGGCCCAAGTCTGGCCACTTCTCTTGGCTTGGGCGAGCACCCAAATGCGACTAGGAAACTGAAATGTCGGCTGAAGTCTTTCAAATATGCATGCAACGGCTTCGACCGTGCCTGTGCGAGAAGCATGGTCCATTGCCAAATACAGGATGTGCTGCCGACATGTACATTCCAAGCCGCATTTGCTCTGGCAATGGGGTAAAAGCAGCCGATCCTGTCTATGTGGACATGCGTTGAGATGGAACAAAGCCTAGCACGATGTTCATTAGCCAGGGAGAAAACAAACAACAAGCATGTCGATAGGATAAATCAGTGACGACAATCGGCCCGCCGCCCAAGTCCACTTTGCCCCTCTTTCTTTCCGGCGCTAATAAGCAATTAGCAATCCCTAGGCAAGTTTCCTTATGCGGCAGACGGCTACTCAACGGTGGTAACGTCTATTGCCGAGGCAACCGTGATGTATGAATGTCTTCTATTCTTATAAGAAACTGGTTGCCGGTTGCCGTCAACATAAGAAGAGCTGTCGACCTACCTGTTGACAAACAGAAGAATGCTGACCGAAACATGTCGATCAATGTTTCCGTACTTGTTTGAAACCACGGAGCAGAGAGAAGTTCGTCACCTATACCAGGTAGCCGGGTTTCTTGGCGGCAGGCAGCTCCATTGTACGCGCGTGATCATGGTGAGCACGAGGCAGCTAGAATTGAATTAGTATTACGGTACAGCCCTTGGGCGACAGAGCAGAATCCGATGCATGTGCAGGCCCTTGAATTTCAACCGGTGTAGGGGTAGGGCCACAACCGTATGGGCCATACAGGAGTCCGGCTCCATCCGCGTAGGAGTATCAACGTGACACGGACAAGGGTTCGATCAGCAGAGCCAATTATTTATAAGCTCATGTACGGAGTATTGAGTATTCGTCTTCGGCGTTTATCAGAGTCGATAGGCAAGGGCACTGGAACGCATGCGTGCATGTATCTCGGCCTGGTCCGAAGCAGGGTCCCGAAGTTTGTTGAGTTGCTGCGAGCTGTGCTTGTACAGGGCATCCGGCATGCGCTCGTGGCTCCTGTTGCAGGGCTATCTTGGTCGAGACGGCCACGCCCAAGACCGGAAACAAAGAGGGAACCAGGGACCAGAGGCTGCATCTCGATGTGAAGGTTGATGGATGTGGGCGGCGTTGCCTGTTGACGGGACCTCAGGAAACCAGAAGAGTGACCCCACCTGCAGGTACATACCTACCTACCTAGGTAGGTCGGCACTCGGGCAGCCAACAAGCGAGGACATAACTACCACGACTTTACTGTCTGCTACCTGCCTGCTGAGGCATGTGCATATTAGGCACCTAGCATGTACCCCCTGGCCCCTGTTTGTGAAGACAGCACAGCCAAGCTCTACTCCGTATATCACAAAGCCTCACATGGTGCTCCGTATCAAGGAAAAGGACAAGAAGACTGTGATAATAGGTGACGGTCACTAAAGTACCGGTTGGCCTGCGAAGATAACTCAAGTACGGAGTACTCCTCCCATCGTACTGTACCTACCTGGGCTAGGTAACTAGAACTTCTCTGAAGCAAGGGACTGTGTTATTAGTCATAATTTCAGGGCTCTTGCCGAACCAGGTGGCGGATCTCGTGGATGGGCACTTTCCCTTTCCGTCGCCACGCCCAACGCCCAACGCCCAACATAATCCGAATAGTTGACTACACTGACTGTTCGAAGCGCCAAGTCCCAGCTCTGTTCTTGGCACTTCTCCTGTCGTAAATCAACCACTGGCGATAGTCACGCCAAATTTGGCCTTCTCATCGTCCTTGTCGTCGCATCTCTCCTTCTGGACAGGCGTTCGTTCAGCTGCCAAAGAAGTCCCTGGACCTTGCTCAGATCTCGCCTTAGCGGGTGCAAGTCGCCGGATTGCAGGGTCTCGAGGTTCGACAAGGGTTGACTGGTTCGTCACAAAAAAAGAAGCGATACAACCATGATCCTAAAGCGGGGAAACTCATGACGATGCTACGATTCTCGGTGAGAAGCACAAACCCAACCATCACCGCATACGCAGTCGGAGTTCGGAGACTTTCAAGGCGTCCACCGCTTTAATTTCTCGCGCGCTGGCGTTTGCATCCCTGGCTGGTGCTGCCGTATCACCTCACATATCATCGGACGCCTGGACTAATCGCGTGATCTCGCCGCCTCATGCTCCAGGGACAGAGCCATCCTGGGTGCTGCTCTCCCATCCTCGCCATTGTGGCCCCTTTCTACTCCGTGCTCCATGCTGTATTCTCTCTTTGGTATTGTCTGTCCGACAAGGCCGGTTACTACTTGAATATACCCGTTATCTTTTTTTTATTTTATTTTTTTTATTTTAATTCTCCCCCTTGGCGTACGGAGTACCGAGACGGAGTATTGGTCACCTGTGCTACACACCTGCGTGGGACCGTTCTCCCTCTTCACGACTGTGTGTAAAATACAATACATAGAGCACTATCATGGATCCCGCAATCAGTGTTCGATCGGGGCCGATGGTAAGTGACGTGTTTTTTTTACTCTCGTCCTATTGTGTGTTTCCATTTCAGTTGCTCACCGTCACTGCACGACCCGGACGACCTCGTAATGCCCCATATCTTCTCTCTTGTCATGTCTGGCAAACAAACTGCCTGCAAGCCTCCATTGATTCACCCCCCTCCCCCCTTATTATGATAAGTTACTCCATATTTTTTATTTTATTGTATTGTATCATGTATTGTACCGAGTACTTCTTGTTGCCCATTAAATCCTTGCTTTTCTTACACGCAACTACCAGGCTGTGCTCTGGGCGCAAACAATCCGGTGGCCATGGGGGATCAACGACTCTTCTGATTTTCCAATGAGGAGCCGTAAACCGTGATTATACACTAGTACATGCCCCTAGCAGAACGAAAGGAGGGTCTCCATAGTTAGTGTACCCCGGGGCCGAGCTCTGGACTATCTCACATGAGTTTTGACGGGGGTTATCTCTTCAACCGGGCCTTTTTGGCTTGTCAACTACATACGAACACAATACAACACATTGATGATATCACCCCTTCAAGCCTGCTGACCCGTCTTCTCACTAGATCAAGCAAGGATCGAAGCGCAAAAGAACCACCAGAGATGAACCACCTGCAGCAAACCGGGCTTCACGACTGAATAGTGACCAGTTTCCTGACGAACGCAGAGTCCGTGACCAGACGCAAGTAACAGACTCACCCGGTTTTGCTTGCCATGTCAGCCCCAGCGCGGATACAACCGAAACAGCTCGGCCCAGGCCAACAGCACTTGCATTGTCGTACACAGCCAGCTTACCATCTCACCATGGACATCGTGAGACCGCTGTTCGCCGTCACCATGGATCTACCCAGTTGGTTGAGCAAGTCCAACCGAGCCTTGCATCTCGTGGCGCCGGTACCCTATCATGCGCAATGCCAACCGCGTATACTCAAGCACCGTCATGCGGGAGCTCAATCCCGACTACGGGATCACTTCACCCCCAGGGGGATACCCAGATGTATAATAATAACTACTATTGTGGTCTAGGCCCAGACCTTGGTGCAAATAAAGCCGTGGATCATCAAAGTTCGTTACATCGAGGCACTCTGATATCACCCGGGCCAGTCTTCGCCGATGAGAGTCGAGGGCAATATCAAGGTCTAATAGTACAAGGTAGTCCAGTCAGTACTACGGAGCATACAAATACACAGCTTTATCCCGGAATCGTCGGTCCGAGCAATCTACAAAACACTTCTACCCACAACGTATCTTCCTTTCAGCCATCGATATTTGGCTCAGCCGTCGAGGCTCAGCAGAGTTCCTTCTTGACAGCGTACAACCCCTATCCGTTTGTACCCGAATTCAGTGCAGCTAGCACTTCCACGCCTGATAATTCGCCAGTGCAGAACAGCGACACGTTGCACGTCTCCGTATCAAGTGGTCAAACCGCAGTCACAGTGACCAGCGAGCAAGCCTTTGCTGAGATGGGTGGAGGCGAGATACATCTCCCACAGCCCTGCAACCATGACACCTACAAGCAGTTTGCTCTAGAACAGGGAGCACAAAATTTCAGTCCTGCACAGCCTCTGCTAAAAGTCACAAAATCCCTGCTAGACGACTCGGAGTTACCTTCCACGGAGCCAGAGCTGGGCAGCAACCTCTTGTCCTCGCAACCAGTGGTGCCAGCAGTGCTAGCGATGCGACCGGTGCAACTCGCAACAAGACATCGCCAGGATCAGGTTGAGGCAGCATCTGACAGCAGCCGTCCGAGCTCGGCTAGCGAAAAGAACGCCATGCACTTAGTCAAGAAGCGTGGCCCATTTAATTTGCAGAAGCGTAAAGAGACTGCCGAGACCCGAAAGAGGAAAGCATGCCTGAGGTGTAGAGTTCAGAAGATTCGGGTAGGCAGCATACACGCCTGAGGACTTCATTATTTCTTAAACCCACACGCCGATTGGCTAATAAATAAGTTAGTGTGATGCAGATCAAGATGAAGTCGAAGGCTCTTGCCTCCCATGCCAAAGCTTCTCAAAAGTCTCCAAGAAGACCCTGCACCACGTCTCTTGCTTCCGTGGTAAGCTGACAGACATAGTGCTTTTCCGCCAAGGCGGTCTGAATCTCACAAAACGATGGAAGGGCACAGAAATGAAAGACGTTGGCGATCGGGTGAACACGGACATTCGATCGATACAGATAACATTGGGTGTCTGTGATACGCCTATTGAGGTCAAGGTGGTCCGCTTTCGAGCCGCTGCAACGGATGTTGTTGCCCGTTTTTGGACTGTGAGAGAGGGCGAGCGAGGAGACGAAATAAAAAAGAAGAAGGACCTGGAACCATTTTGCCTCGTCGATATCTGGGCTACGGCAACGTACTTTGAGAAATATGTTGTGGACAATGCCATTGGGACTATAGTAAAACAACATACACCGCACAAAATGTTGCGAAACACACTTGCAGGGCAGGATGTCATTAAGAGGACATACATTGCGGCCGTGCAGTACTACTTGAACTTGGAGGTGAGTGTGTTTGCTTGCGCCTGATTGGTAGTCACTAACCTGTAGAAAAAGAACGAGGTGATGGCCCCATCTGGGAAGGTTGCCAACCCTCAGAAGAGGCTTCTAGGGAACCTCTTTGTATTTTGGCACGCAAACCGTGGGTTCCTCAATAAAACAAAAAACTTTTTCCTTTTAACGAGAATGCCAACAACGGTGACCATGCAGAACACACTACTGGTTCAGCGTATATTTGCGGCAAAGAAACTCTCGGCATGAAACCTGAACTCAAGGACGAAACATACCCTCTCTTCGGCAAAGTTTCCGTCCCCCGAATGATCCTCGCCCAATTCGACAGCATCAATCACCGCAAACTTCTCCATAGATATGGTCAAAAAGTCCTCCGCGACCTTGAAGCATTCGTCTTTCGCAATCAGTCGGCTCTTTGGTGGCCGATATACCTAACGGTCTTCATTTTGCTACATGAAGCAAGTAAGATGAGTGCGGACAGGTATCGTCATGCCAGGAATAACTTTGGTGGAAGAGTACGCAAACTCTTATCTGCTCGGCTTAGCATCTTGTCTTTTAGCGCCTACTGACCTCTTTCGTTATATACAGTATCGATACTCTATACCTAATTTTGTGGAAGAGCTTCAAGAAGGATGTAACAATATCCTTGTTCACTGGCACTACTACAACTGCCATCCATGGCCGAAACCAGACGATCCGTGGGAGCGCCATAAGCACTTCATGTCTGAGCTGACATCGGAGCAGTACGACTTGGTCATGGATACTATGACGGATAGACGTGTGCAGAAGCAACTTGCCGCATGGGCGAAGTGCAGGCAGGAGAACGGGATGAGTGAGTAAAGGAACACCATATCACAACGTACGCCAGGCAGACCTGGCTGATGACATGCAGTGGAAAAACCCCCCATGCCTCCGATGGGCAAACAAGAGACACCGTATATGGGCTCCCAGACTAACTATGACTGGGACCATCCATGTTACTGGATAGCGCAGATGTTTGAAGAGCGGTGGCAACCACGCCCCACGTACCAGCGGGAGTATATGCACTAGTTGATGGAAATACTCGGAATGAGTGGTTACGGCTTGTAAGAACAGGATACGCGAAGCAGACGCATTGACAGCATTCATTCATGGTGCATGTCTATGTTCGTATGTAGACTATCGTCTTACAAGGCAGCTGGGGAAACGATCCTGCAGCTCTCATTACATGGTTGTATTATAACACACCTGATTATAAGTCAACCCAAGGCGTAGCCAACATGGTTTAGATGTATGAAGCCAACCCCATCCCAAAGTCAAAACTACCACCGAATCTTATTCTGTCTCCATGCTTTCTTGGGGGGGTTGTGTTGTGGAGCACTCGAAACTTGAACCTCGAGTTGTTGCCCCAACCCTCGCTCCCGCTGAGGAACCAATACGATACGACTCGGCGTGTCGGCCCTGTGCCACCATTCCTATGAGTCAACAGGAATTTGCTGATAATCCGAGTCGCACACCTCTCTGAGGGGGCTGCCCAATCCACGACTCTTCATGAGGTTCTCTATGCCGCCTTTCCGAGATTCATTGCTCCATCGTTCTTGATTCGGCATTTGGGCTTTGCGGCCCTTGGCCTGTTCTCGCGTTCGCGACTGCCACTTTCCGTGCCGTATTATTTCTTTCTGCAGCTGCTCCATGTGCCACTCGTTGACCAAGTGTCTGGTGGCCAAGAATGCTCCCCCCGGGCTGTCGTGTATTGTTTCCGATTTCGTACCGTCTTCATGCAGCACGCAGCATCCTTTTCTGAGATGGTCCAAAAGAGCTTCCAGCGTGGCGGGGAAGGTGTTGCTATCCACGCCCGTAGTCCTGCGCAGCGCGGCCTCCAGGGCTGTGTCCAGAGCGGTTGCTAAGTCGGTCCCATGCGGACAGGCGTATTGCGTGTCGTGGTCGTGGTCAACATTCGCAAACCACGTGTTGTGAAGGGTATATGTCTGCTCGTCTTGCCACTGCCGCACGAGTCGGAGGTCCTTCAGCCACGGACTCCCCCAAGACCACTCCCATTCGTCAAAGGACTCGGATAGCTGATTCTCTTCTTCTGACAGTCCATGAGGAGGAGGCAGGTCAATATAACTCGCCGCGCATGCAACACCCCGTGGTGAAGCATATAGGAGCGCGTCGTCTCGAATATTGAGTAGCCAGTCAATGTATTTGTTTAGCGCGTCTCCTATAATGTTGCGGTGAGTACGAGAGCACTTGGCAGTATTGTGACGTTTGCCCCAACTCATGTTTGGGGGCGGCGGCTGTGGTTTGTTGTTGGCTCGTTATTTCCTGGGTAGTCGCTGGCCCTGGATAATCCGTCGCGGGAGGTAGGGATTGAATGAGCTGAGCGTACGTATTCCGCGGCTTGTGAGGAAGGCAGAAGGCTCATAGTGTATCGAAGAGCATGGGATGCAAAATGGACAAGAAGTAAGCCGGGAGCAGCACAAGTTTTCGAACAAACGTGATGGTTATGGCGACGATTACGCAACCAAGGTGAGCGACTGCATTTGGAAGGAGCAACGCTGGTTGAAGTGATGTGCCGGTCAGAGCTCGGAAACAGACCATATTAATGTGAACTAGGTAGCTGGTGAATACGTATGATTCACATAAACCGTCAAGAAGAAGTGAGCGACGACACAGTTCAGCAAAAGTTCACATCCTTCAGAGGAAGGCACGTGGGTTTCTTTTGTGTACAACTCTGCATTGCACCAGACCTCTAGTGTTGTCTCAACAGTTGCTCCATATTCAATACTGATGATGAAATTGCTGCAAGATAACCCGCATCTCGCGCATGCTGCATCCAAGTGCAGCTCACAGCCATCTGCGCATATAATTACGATATTATCATCCTCGTCCAGGCCCGTCGACTTCGGAACAGGCACTTGATGTCCCCTTTCGGTCTTCTAGTCGCTGGTCTCTAACCTCCAGCCTCGCGGCTCAAGAATATCTCAACAACAATCCGTTCTTTTTCCTTCACTGTCTTGTCTCTATTGTCTGTCCGGAATGCGAGAGGAGCAATGATTTCGGCGTATTTCCGTTCCCGCAATTTCCTTTTCTTCTCGCTGTCGTCCTCTCCCCGTCTGAAATTCAATCGTCGACTTAGACCCGGCAAAAGCGGTTCCGACGTCGCTGGACTCAGCTCTGTAGCTACACGGGCCACTGTAGAAGTTAAAAAGACAAACGCAATATTATGATTGGGCGCAGAAGAAAATATATCGAGAATTTGCATCTTTGCGTCGGCCCATGCCGTGGGAGCAAGAGATGCCAAATTTGGGAATGACGTGGATAGTTTGGCCCATAGGATCGGAGGAACGAGACCGTCCGTTAACGAAGCTAAAAACAACAATAACATCGAGGATAGCAGTTCCAATTTATGGGGAGAAGAGAGTTCTACTGGCAATGCCTCGGCAATGGGAGAGTCATTATCCAAAGCTGCCACGAGGTCGGCTTTTATCTCATCCTGTTTTGTCAAACCGGGCGTCCAAGTAGACGAATCAAAAGGCCAACCCGGCTCCCGAGGCAGAGTCATGGATTCCAACATGGCTTCATCAGCAACGCACCTTTCCGCCAATGTCTGGATTGCCTCTGTCAACTTGAAAATTTCCTTTGGAGCTGAGCATTGAACGTCAGAGTCATAGGGAATAGCCCCTTTGATGTCCCTCTCAGCTAGGAACTTTCGTATGCCACCGTCAGGCACTCTAATGAGCTCGTCAATGGAACGTCCGAAACAAGTTGGCAGCCAGGTACCTTTGACAGGAATAAAATGGTCTCTGCCCTCCTCTACCCGAAGCACCAAGACATCCTCCATCTTGGCGTGGCCATCATTTAAGGCGCGGAGATGGGAAATATTGGAGACTTGGGCCTGGATATGTGCTAAGACAGTCTCTCCTGGTTCTAACGTGACTTCTTTGCCTAAATCGCCAGGTTGATCATCGTCTGGGTGGAGAAACGATGCGGTCAGCCAAGGTAATGAGGTCGAGTCTGCCTCATCCGTGGTGGGAGTGGGACTCTCGATAAATAAGAGGCTTGCTGGGACACTGCCAGTATTCGCAACTGTAAAAACAGAAGACTTTCTCTCCAAGAACCCAATATCGCCTAAGTCAACAGTATTCTCATTACCCGACTTGTCTCCTTCCATTGCAATAGTTATAGCCGGACGCCCTTCGTTTTCGGCTCTGTCAAGCTCCCAGGCGACCTCGGCGTGGACTTTTGCTTTCAACTCTGGCACAACTGCGTCATATTCAAGAGAGAAGACGGAGATGATGGGTTTGTGGTCTGACGACGTAATGCGCTGGTGTGACGTATAAATGTCAAGAGCAATCCGGTCAACATAGCCCTCTTTCGTTATGACCTCTCTGAGGATATCGTCCTGTGCTTCGTCATACTCATCGTAGTCATAGGCAGCTACCCCGGCTTGCTCGTCCCCGTCTGTGTCGGGGTCATAGCTGAAGAGAACGTCGTCGTCCTCATCTATACCTCTCGATTTCATTTCTTCGTCCTTTTTCCTAGTCGCTATCTCTTCGGCTAATTTGGCGTCAAAGGCTTGTTTATCCTTTCGCGTTCGATACAGAATTCGGTCACACCAGCTCGGGGCTCGCTGTTTTTCACTAGAATCAAAGAGTCCCACAGTTCCAACATCGTATTTGTATGACGGCAAAAAAGTAATAGGCCCTTCTCTCCATCCATCATGAAATACTTTGCGATGTGCAATCATTCGCCGAAGTTGATCATGAGGGAGAAGTGAGTCCAGTGTCGCTTGAAGAGAGGTTGGGTCCTGGCTCGGGTCTTCTGGAAAATCATCAGGATCCGGAAGTGTGGTTTCAGAATCGAAACTCTGATCTCGTGAGTGAAGCGAAGACCTCATTGTGGTATCGTCATCGCTTTCAGAGTCTCGCATTACAATTACCCCCCTTTCTCCTGGGGGCCGAGGTGTATGGTCGTCGCCCAGAGCGTACTCCCCTCTTGTGTGGAGTGTCAGTAATCTCCTGATATCATGGCCGGGAAGTCCATCGAGTCGAAAATTCAGGTCACCGAACCAAAATGCAAAATCTTCCTCGCCAATCGTCTCATCGTCGTCCTCGGAAACACCAGCATGCACTATGGGGTCGAATCTCGTCTTAGCTAGAATCTGATCGACATCCCAACACCTTCGATCCAAGTAGCTGGAGCCAACACCGCTAGCCAAATGGCAGTTGACAAATACCATGCGAGTCGTTTCTCCAATGACGAGGCGGGACGTGATGGCGCCTTTGTTCCCAAAATATCCCAAGAGACCGGTACCGACCTGTTTCGTGCTCACGTTGGTAATGGTTGGAGCGACCTCTGGGGATGCATAAATCAAGAGCAGCAAACCGGTCATTTGCTCTGACATGATGCGTTGGTATCCAGGAGGCATGGCAGCTTCCAGCGCAGCTTGCCACTTGCCAACCGGCGAGCTGTCGACATTGACGGCCCGATTCACGTACTCTTTAGTAACGTTCAAATCCACAATTTCTTGTAGGCCCAGAACATACAGCCCAATATCGTTGCCTCCAAGAAGACGGACAGCGTCGGGGTCGTTCTCGTCACTGGCAGAATCATGGTGTGCGACGGCAGGATTTCGAGACAGATCCAAGGTGGCAAAGTGCTTATCGACACCTTCGCCATCAACAAACCACCTTGCAAGATCTTTGTCTGTCCCAGTGCACGCTGCGACGTTCCAGGTGCCAATCTTAACTCGGATCTTGTGCGGCCGAAGGTACTCGGGGCGGCGTGCGTGTACTGCCCGCGCGAGGGATTGGGGCGTTGTGAGCAAATCTACAGGTTCAAAAGGGCCGGAGTGAGTCGACTGTGGACTGTCTGGAGCAGGCATTTTTGTTGAAATACGGAAAGAGGCGTCAGATCTGCGACAGTATCGTCTGGTTGTGAGGTTGGAAACTCGCTGCTTTCTGGTGACCTAAACCATGGTGTTCAGATGCCCAGGCCTGTGTAGCAGCTGGCGGAGGATAACGATGGCCAAAATATAAGAAGGTAAAACGTATAAAAAGAATTATAGTATCATAGCGGAGCCTGGAGATAAACGCATGCGGGTAGCAAGAACACGCGAGCGCAACCGCGGTATCGTGTGTGACGGAATATGGAGTCGTGACGGTTCAGTTGAAGCGTCAGTTGACCCGATGACAAGCTTGGACCAGCTGACCTATGAAACAAAGTTGAGAGCTGGAAGCCAGGGGACCCCGCGGTGGATGCAACTGGCGGGTGTCGTGCAGCGGGCTTGCAGTTGGCTGCCCGTCATTCAAAAGTCTGGATCTAGAGTTGGAATGCACGTCATAGCTCAGGCTTTGTCATGCACAGACCACAAACAGACCCCGGCAGATCTCGAAACATTCAAACACCTGTCGATAAGCTCGCCAGCCCAACTCAGCGTCCGGCTGGGACTGTCAGGATATCCATCTTGCCACTTTTCATCAACGACAGCCGTCAACAATCCAGCATAGTTGGGTTAGCCATACCGCACCCCCAAAGTCACTTGCCCAAGGTGGCCCGGTTTGTCGCAATGAGCAAGCAAACGCCTCGCAAAGCGCGACACTCGCGCCAGCCCTCAAACCTCATACCAGCCGTCTCCGACTACGAATCCGACGCTGCCGCCATTCACGCCGCCTACGCGCCGCCTCCCCCGCGTACAAACACCGAACTGAACCTGTCCGTTCTCCAACGATATCTCCCGTCCATCCAAGCCATTCTTTCCATAGCCGCCAACGCCGTCGTCTACACCTTCGACAGCGAAACGGCAAGCTGGGACAAGTCCGGCATCGAGGGCACCATGTTCGTGTGCGCCCAGTCTCCGCTCCCCGAGAGCCACCAGCCGCGGGCGTGTGTGTTTGTCCTCAACCGGAGGGCCTTGGACAACTTGGTGGTTGACCTTGCCCGAGTGAGCCACGTAGAGATCGCGGGAGAACTGGTGATATTGAGAGTGGAGAGTGATTCCGAGGAGGGCGACAAGGTCATCGGGTTATGGGTTCACAATGACAAGGACGAGACCAGGGAGATCAGCGGAGCCACGATACAAGAGAGCTGGAAAGTGGCCAGGTCAGCAGCGTCCGCCGAAGAGCAGGGGCCGGAAGCAGGACCTGCTATGCAAGCTATTGGGAAAAGATTATCACTGAGTGACCTGTTTGGGAAGCAGCATGAACATCAGACGGTGAATTATTGAGAGGATTTGTGCTTTTTGGCGCGCAAGTGGTTTTGCATACAGAGCATGCTCGGTCTATGGGTTACCCGGCCCGTTGACAGCATCAAAGCTGATTTAATGATACCAAAAGCAAAGGAGACTCTGCACAAGCAGCACGTCATGTGGAAGATTTATGTAGATTGGGGAAATTTTCACGAATTGACGAGATATGCAAAAGATATCCTTAGAATATTGAGCTATTAATTCCGAAGAAACTGTAAAAGTAAAACAGTCTACAAGAAGACAGCCCACTGTCGGATCAGCCCGTACGCCAATGTAACCAGCTAAATGCAGCGCAACACCACACACCCTTTTGCACCTAATGCCGCTCGAGTCCTCTTTCCCGAGTTATATTTTCTATACAGTCCCGCTGATGCTGAGATCTCGAATCTCTTGCAAAACTTGCTCTACTCTTGCATCTAAATGCCCCTCGGCGTATAGATCCCTTGTGTCTGCATCTAGGTACTGCTGCACTTGCGCCATTCGAGAGTATGCTTCGGCACAGAACCGCAGCTGAATTTTGACCAACGCTTCGAACGTGGGATCCAAGTACGGTACCCGCAGATCGATCAACTGAGGTAATTCGGAGAAAAGTTGTTCATTGAGCTGTTCATAAGCAAGCTTGGCCATTTCGAGCTCCTTTTCTGTTCGGGGCAGTTTGGTCGCGTCTTTGTCGGGCTTTTCAACAAGTCGCTTCACTTTCGCTCGGAGGGCATCATAATCTAGGAGCTTGTGGGATCTCTTCTTGATGCACTCGTTGATATCGGGGAAGTAAGAGCAAAACCGGTTGATGGGGTCCAATACGGTTGTTCGGTAAGGCCCGTCCAAAGCCTTGATTGTCTCAGAGTCAAGGTCCTCCACGGCTTGTTTGTAGCTTCTGCTGACACCGTCCCTTGCACCGGAATCCCCGTAAAAGGCATCTATCGTTTCCGCTATTCGCATTTGGGACGCAGTCATAGCTAACGCCCAAGGAATTAGCAACGTCCCTCAGTGCGGTCGGATATATCGGATTGTGTTACCTCGAAGTGAGTCCAGATACCCTTTTGCCTCCTTTTGCAATCGCAATGATGCGGCTTCCATTGTCTTGAATCGTCTAGACCATCCATTAGATTCTAACAGCAACAATGCCCGTCTCCAAGATAGCCATACCTCTCCTCCAGCTCATAGTCACGATCGTTTGTCTTCTCCACATGTCCTAGGCAGTCAGATTAGAAATTTTCGCGAACCCAATCGATAGACAAGTCAGCCATACCCGTCTTCATCATCACCTGCGTCGTCGCGCGATTCACATTCTTCTTGAACCCTAATTCAATGGTCAGCCCCTCTTCCGTCTCACTGCGGGGTCTGAGCTTGTACAAACCCGCCCACGACATCTTGACTGTTCTGTCCTGCTGAAAAGAAAAGGAATGAACAAAATATAAATGGAAATAATGCAGTATGGCTGGATCGCAGTGTGTTGGTGGAGGTAATGGCGTTCGTTTTGCTGAAGGTTGAGAGGGAGAGCGATGTCGAGACCAAATCAGATTGCGCAGCCACGGCCAGCGACAAACATCTACGTCAGAAGAATGGCGAGGCGCAGCGCTGCGAGGCTCGCTCCGCCCCAGAAAACATGACAATCACGTGACGGCGCGTGCATCTCGTCATTCAGCTTGGTGGCATGAAACGCTCCGTTTGCGTCGCTCAACAGTGTGCTCAATCGAGTGCAGCATAATGTTTAATCCGCGTTTCTTAGTGGTCAGTCTCGGAAATCCCTTGCCAAAATATGAGAGTCTCCATTCAGCTGGCCATTTTGCTCTCAATGGCCTCGTCAAAGCACTCAGACAACCACCCTTTCGCGAGGTGAAGTTGGGAAAGCAAACCTGTCTGGTCTCTCAGGGGCCAAAGTACACCCTTGTTCAGTCTCCGACTCTTATGAACATCTCTGGACCGTTTGTGGCGAAGGCATGGCAAGAAATAGTCCGGCAGCACGATGCATCATCAACAAGTCTGGTTATCGTCCACGATGAATTGGAGAAGGCCTTCGGTGATGTGAGGCTCACACCTTGGGATCGAAGTCATCGAGGTCACAATGGGTTGAAAAGCGTCAAGAAGTCGTTACTACAAGACAAATTCCCAGAATCACCATTCGCCCGCATTGCGATTGGCATTGGTCGCCCGGCTGAGCGTGACGCGGCCACGGTCAGCAAGTATGTCTTGGACAAGATCACGGTCGAGCAGCGGAGAGTCCTAGAGGAAGCCGTCCCATTTGACGTGGCCAAGAGATTGGGAGAGCTTGAAGACGAGTGGAGAACAGAGATAGAACCCTGATCATCAGCGGAGTTGGCAAGTCGAGTTCATACAGGTTACAACACGTATTGTTCCGACGTTGGCGCAGGTCTCGTATGCGGATGCTCAACTCGAACGAATCCCACATAGAGTCAGATACGAATTCTATTCGCAGACCCCCCAAACCATTCGCCACAAGCAGCTTTTGGAAATCTCGCGCCAGCCTCGAGCTTAGTTATGGAGTATAAAGAGATTCATAACACGGCATGAGACATCAAGTTTCACACATTGGGCCTATCTTGTTTTACCGTCTCTGGATCTGTCAAAGCGAACTTCATATACCGAAGACGTTTCGCAACGAAGATTGCAGGCCATACGCCAGGGAGATTATTCACGCGGCTGCGATATACTTTCTGTTGGCTCTTGTCATCGATTTGTTGATTACTCTATCCTCTGGACTCGACAGTCAGCACAACCTCTTCTCGACTCCAACGACAAACACCCACTTGCAGTTGGAGAGCTCGTGTCAAGAATGCCATGCAGACAAAAGCTAGCCTCATTCCATCACAGACTCTCATTGCGCCCAATGCAACGACTCCGAAGACACCGTCCTTAGCGCCCAAGAATAAAAATGCGGGAGCAAAGTAGTTGATTGAGAGAATAGGAATATATCTGGACACAAGGCTTCGCCTGCGAGGGTCACCCTGTCACGTCCCTTGGTGGACCCTGAGAAACTGGGTGTTGGTGTTGGTCGACTATTCCAGGTTGCGCCGCCACACAAAGAGATAAGACTCCGCCCAATCAGAAGCCCATGATTTTCCCCCAGCTAGCTATCTCCAGGATTGTGTGGACGATACGGCTTATTCTCGTTCAAGGCACCGTGGCGTTGCTTCACCACAGCCAATTAAAGACATGAGTGATAAGAGTAAGATGAGCTCCTACAGGAAAAGCCTGACGTACAATAAACTGCTGCATTATCTCTACATACCTCTCTGCCGTCCCATAGATTCAAAGATGTCGGTGCTCTGCATTCACAATACCCACTGCTGCTGCGCCTCGTTCTTCATTTACTTGTTCCGGAGCTCAGGCACATGGCCAAGTCCTCAATGCTCTTTGCCAACTACAGTATGTCTCGAACAAATTTAGGCAGTTAGGGCGACCGCAATCGTATTGAAAAAGACGCATTTTTGTACTTTAAAGAAAGGTGCTTTTACGTCGGTTAGGGAGAAGACTGTACGCCACATCGGCTACACGAAGGCTGACATGTGCCCGAGCTAATATTTGTTGGCTCATTCTACAACATATATGAGACGTATATAGAATAGCCAGCTCTTATCAAGGGAGGACCTGGCCGACTCATGTTGTAAGAACGTGGCTGTTGTGTGTGGCCGATTGGCGCGCCCCCAAAGTCGTCCTGATAAGACATCACGCGCCACTTCTTGACCATCAACAGAAACTCCAACTGAGGCGAGCTGAGTTTGATGCCTAATGAACACCGACATCGTCTCATGTGGGCTGGTCTGTTCGTTTCTCAAGGCTCCGCCCCTGCCTATTCTCCGACGGGATCCGACGCTGAACTTGGCATGACAGGCTATCTACCCTGAATAGTCATTTATTGCAAAATAATATGCCCTCTGAGCCCTAATGATCCAGTCTGTTTTCTTTGTCCTCGTGTCATGAGGTCTAGAAGGCGTAGCAATGCAGGGGGGGTGTCCATGCGCGGAAATGGGTGAAGATATAATCTGACAACCCTGCCAATCTCCGTATTCCTGTTTCCTGAGACTCTCTTCCCTTCCATCAGAACCCACGTTTTCCTTTTCCTTTGTAAACTAGTCGCGTTGAACGTGAACGCGGTTGCAAGACGGTCAACATGGTGGCCGAATACAATGGAACAACCGGCACTGCCGATGCCGGGTACTCGACCAACGTCCATGACCTTAACATTTTCTACGACGTTAGTTCATACATATCTCGCAATGGGGAGTTCCCAGTCTAACATGCCATATAGACGGGCAACCTAGCCTTCCTAACCATATCGTCGGTCCTGGTGCTGCTCATGATCCCCGGCGTGGGCTTCTTCTACAGCGGCCTCGCGCGAAGAAAGTCGGCTCTCCAGCTCGTCCTCCTATCCATGCTCTCCGTCGCCGTCATCGGGTTCCAGTGGTTCTTCTGGGGATACTCGTTGACCTTCTCGCGGACCGGAAACGCCTTCTTCGGCGACCTCACTCAGTTCGGCCTCATGAAGACACTCGCCCAGCCAAACGGCTCCTCTTTCCTCCCCGACATCCTCTTCTGCCTGTACCAGGGAATGTTTGCAGCCATTACGCGATTTTCTCCCCCCCCCCCCGCCCCACCCT